ATATATATATATATATATATAAATATATATTTATATATATTTATATATATATATATATATATATAAGCAATACCCCCTCTCTTTCTTTCAACAGCAGGAATGTAACCATATAAAATGTGCAAATGTTTGCATTCCACACATGGACAAACCCTCACAACCAGCATCAAGTAAAAACCTCTGCCCCTTCATAAAACAATATTTATATCAGTTAAAAAACACACTTGCTCCCCAGCGAGGAGCAGTGTGCACAGCTATACGACGCTCTTCCTCAGATATGGGTTGTAATTCCCCATGTCGAATGTGCCGCTCAACCCGTCCACCAGGGAAGAAATGTCCCTTTCTCAGCCGATGGAGCTTCACGAGCACTGTTAGTTTGGCAGGTTCCAGGTGTAGCTTAAGACTCGGAGTGGTTGGTGTCCTGCGGGGAACCTCTCACCGACGGGAGACGCTCAGCTGCTTTTGCTCTTCCTGCCAAAAACTTGTCAAACTCTGCGGAGGGAGAGAGAGAAGCAGCATTAGGTGAGATGAGACTTCATGAATTATCTAAAGTACATTAGGGATTATATAAACGATGCTGGTGTGGTGCAGAAGTAGTGTTTTAGAGTAGTAGTGCTGGGTCAACCTAACCTGTAACTTATTAATTACGGGTTAAGTTACTTAATTTTTTCCTGTTACATAAGAAATAACATATGGCAGCAGTCCTTTTTTAAAGTACTCAATAACTGCATAGCTGTGTGGAGTTCTTGTGCTGAATAGGTCTGAGGAGAGGTAGTATGTGGCACCACATACCCCGTTAAGACTATAGTGCCACCTACGGGTCAAATGCTCAAATATTCAGCAGCAGATATGAGTCTGACTTGTTCAAATAACAGTTTAATATATTAAACTCAAAATGCTTAGCCAGTCAATTCAGCACAAATCCTATTTTTTTCCCTATAAACGGCCAAAGTGCCCAAGCGAGTGAGCACAGTGGGACAAAATGACCCCTCAGGTACTGCAGGTGTACACGGATGCCAAATTAATTAACGGATGATAAAAGAGGCTCATTTTTTTTAAAAAGGAGATAAAGTGTGAGGACCCTCACCTTCACTGGTCACACCGTCTGAATCTTCAAAGTCATCATACTGTGTCACAAACAGAAAAGATATTATAGATAAAAGAAAAGCTGCCGTCTTCTGTACTTCTGCAGCCGCCTAGTCCGCTACTTTAGCATATGCTGTTTATAATAAATCAGTTTTCTGTCAATCTGAATTATATTATTAGTAAGAGAATGTATTCTGAAGTGTGATTTTGTGCATTACAATCGGTCGACCTTTAATATCTGTGTATTAATTCGGAGTTAATGTAGGAATCCAGCCATTTACCTCATCGTCCAGCTCTAACCACTGCTCAATGTCATCCATTACAGTGGACTGGTTGATGGGAATCTGAGAAAGAAAGCCGAACAACAGGATGGTCAGAGCAGAGAAAGATGAGCCGCTGGTTTAACTTTATGACGATGAAACTAAACTACCAAACCACTCCTTTCACAAAACAATAAATACGAAGGAACAACTACATGTCGGGGAGAAAAGCATGACAGGTATGACAACGATGTAGCATATCAGGACAGTGCAAACCAAACATTGTCATGCTTTCTGATGGGCGTGACTCCAAAAACATCTTCACCACATACAAAACATGCAAACCAGTGGGTTTCATCTCAACACCTGAACCACCAAACCATTAAAAAGTGATCCAAACAAAGGCAATGCAGACCAAAACAAATGCAACGTCATGACAAAACCAAAGCAACAGAGGGTGTGGAAGGGTGAGTCAATGTGAAAGAGGAACACATTTTGGACGCACCATTCCCCTTTTAATCATCCAATCTAACTTTGGGGAGGAGCTGCGGGTGGAGGATGGGCTGTCATCCTTCACGCACAGACAGAATTTAGGAGGAAAGCAGTTACCGAGAAACAATTACACACACATTTACTCAACCGAGGAGGTTTCTTTTACGAGTCAAGTAGTTCTGCAGACCCCCTCCCCGCAGAATTGCCATGTTAGCAATTTCCACACTGACATTTTCACAACAAAGGTCACATCGTAGTCAAGGAAAAACTCAGCCATGACAGCCGTTAAATGTTGTGACTAACCCTGTCAAATCGTGTAAAACCTGAATTACAGGACATCTTACCGCTACAGCGCTGAGTAGTCTGCTGTCTTGAGCCTGAGCCAGGCCGTCCACTGCAACTTCACTCTGCTCGCTGAAACACAAGATTTGTACTTTGGTTAACTGCCATGTAAAGCTAAGATTTTCAGTCAACACAAAAGTAATTACAGGGAATGAGTCGGAATTAAGATCCAAAACAAAGATCAACGTATTTGCAAATGACATTCCTGAGAATTCGCTCTTGTTATTCACGCAGCCTCCACTTAAGTACAGTGGTTCCCAAACATTTGATCTCATGTACACCCCCAGATGAACCCATCCTTTATCGACACCACCATGTTCCACCATGAAGAAATGGTGTTCATGTTACTTAACTCTATCAATCATATTAATGTCAACTTTAAGTGTAGAAGCTGGACTTTTTAACCATTTAGCCATTACTTCAAATATGTATTCATTACCTTTAGCCAACTATTCAAATACCTATTCAATATCTTCAGCCAACTGTTCAAATATGTTGCTTTTAGCTAACGTTAACTATTCATTATGTATTCATTACTTTTAGCTAACTCCTTCCGCTGTTAATTACTTTAAGCTTGCTATCTCAACTTCATTCATCATCTTTAGCTAACTCTTTGGACTGCTCGGCTTGCTTGCTAACAAGTTTTCGTGCACTCTTTTCATGTAACTTACTCTCATTGGGAATCAGTCTTTTACTTGATACCAAAAATACAACTTTTGCTACTTGTGTTTGCATCTTCATGATCATGTGGCTGACAGTCTTTCTGTACCTTGGCCTTTGTCGAGTTGAGACATTTATATTCTTTGATAACGTGTCGTCTGATTCACTCGTACCTGCAAGAGGAACAGCGAGACGTTAACGGTGCATCGAATAAGAGGAGACGTACACTGAACATGTGCGGTATGTAGGTAATGGTCATACATACAAGACTGGAGTACTTACTCAGTCTTGCCATCTGACCGGAGAAACTGTCCGCTTTTGACAGGCTGTGTGAGCTGTTGTTGGTAACGGATGCATGCCCTGAATGGCTGATGGACTCAGGTGTCAAATCGAAGTCTGTTAGGTTGACGTATGAGTGACTCTGAGGGACAAAAAGTGAAAGTCCATGACTCATCCCCTGTCAAGAAGGAAAAACCACCAATTCAAATATTCCAGACATATTTACCTTTTTTGCTGTGCTTTGACCGTTTAGTATTCGTCTTTCAAACCTGTGAACACCATATCATCAAATGGTAAAATACAACCTGTTGAAATATTACAATCCTCTTATTTTCTAAATAAAAAAAAGTGCATAAAGTCCACCTGTGGTAGCGAGTAAAGGCGGTGTTCATCTCATCGTTAGCTGCCAGCAACTCTTCTATCAGCATCTCCTCACTGAGTCTGGGGACCACCTTAACAATCCTGTCCTGCATTTCCTTACATACTGTATATAACTGCTAATGACACAATCAGACAAAGAATGTGTGGGCGGGGGTTTGACGGGGCCAGATGCAACACAACATATATAAAGTAGGAGATCAGTTAGAGGTAAGGCACGGTTACTCAACATGACCGGAAGGAAATGATTTGCACAGAAAACATCATTAAAACCCGAGTGTGTGTGTTGTTGTTGTTTTTTTTACCTCCAGCAGCTCCATGTCTGCTTGTTTTACCGTGACAGGATCCAGCTGACTCATCATGTCTGACATCATAGTCAGGTTGCTTCGCACCACTCCCAGCTCCATCTTCAGCTGTTTTATCTGGAGGATCAATGATATTTCCTGAATAAGCACAGCTACAGGCAAATATTGATTTCATAAGTGCTGCAGGCCAAAGTGATACAAAAGGGAGTTGTGAAACAGAAAAAGCCCGGTGAGTTCTAGGAAAACAGTGCAATTGAAACGCTTAAAAAAAAAACATCCGTCTCTAGCGCAGCAAGGCCATCACCTGGCTGGGAGTGAACGCATTGTTTCCCTCCAGGGCCAGTTTTAGCTCGGAAGTCAGCGGTGGGATGAGCGGAGTTTTGGAAGAGAGGAGCACGGTGGGCAGAGTAGTGACAGCGGGCCCGTTCCCAGGCGAAGGCTGGTAAGCAGATGCACAGAAATGACTCCCAAGTAAAAAAAAAAAAAGAGACAGACCAGAAGATGACAGGTAGCACCAGAAGATCAGCGAGCGAGCAGCAGCCATGCTTGTACCTTTTTGGGGGCTTGGGCGGGCGAGTAACCGTCCAGCTCCGTCATGGGGAACTCGAGTCCCTTCCTCCGCAGGTCTTCGTACACGGACACCACGCCCGTCAGGTCAGGCGAGCTACGGAACGCATCAGCCCATGCCTTGACGAGAGACAACCACAAATTACCATCAGACAATAAGAGCAATGTGACCACACCAAGACTGATTACAACAGGATCACCCCCCAAGCTCCCACAGTGTTGCCAAACATGTAATGTGGCTTTTTTTCTTTTACCTGTACAATGCTGAGCACTCTGTCATGCAGGACTAATGGAGGGTTGTTTTTCGGGATGATCGACCGGACCAGAACCCCCTCTACAAAATCCCGCGTGGTCACCAGGATGTGAAGCTTGTAGCCGCAGTTCTTCACGCACGTCTCCAGGACCTAACGCGAGAAGGAGACGCAATAGCTAGAACTCAAAAACAGGTGTAAACACAAACGGAGCATGAGGGCGACGAGGGAAAGACACTCACAGTGAGCGCCAGCATGACCTCCTTGAAGTTCTTGTTCCCCACGATCCTTTTCTTTAAGGCTCTGACTGCGTCTTTAGGTCTGTAATCAGAGAATGTTCAACAGTCAGAGGCGTGTAACCTCCAGAGGACTCCTTTGTTCCTGATGCTGACGGATAAAACACACACACGCGCACACACACACACACACACTCTCACCCGTCCTCTGAGCTGTTGATCATGTCGCAGATCTCCATGTTGAGGGCCCAGTCTTCTGATGGCAGGCTGGAGCCGGTCGCACTCTCTACGGAAAAAATATACAATGCTGAACAGTATGAAACCGCAGATTAATATTGATGGTGTCATCATAACAGTTTACTCTGGAATATATATTATAGCTTGTCTTTATGATTATTAATAAGATGATTTCATGAATGCTTAGTACATGTTTCTCTTAATTTAATAATAATAGTTTCTTCATAGCACACCAATCACAACACATAGCAGTTGATGGAGTACATGGTGTTTTCTGATTTGTATAATAATGACAGATGGATATTTAATATTTTTAGTAAAACTATAGTTTGTATCATGAACAACACTCTCTCTACTATCCTTTAATCTGCTTATCTATTCATTCCTCAATCTCCATCAGTAACTGAACACACATGTGCAGTCATTAAGCTACAGTTGAACGTGCATCTAATTTGGGTCAGGAGGCTGTGGCCCACTTTCCGTCCCCGCCCGGCTATTGGCAGGTTAAACACAGTCACTAAAACAACCAATCAATTTGAGCCTCGCAGCATCTAAGACCCGCCCCTGTCAAACCATTGCTCAGCGGACGCGTCACTCAACATGTAACCCGTTGCTCCTCTGTCAGTCTTAATACATTTACCTTATTTTCACCATGTTAACGTATTGACATTGTATGCGTATTAGCTCGCGCATTAAAATAGTGCAGGCCATGATAAAAAAAATGATAGAAGCATCTCGAAAGAGATGCGCGTGCCGGTGGCGTAATGACTCCGGTAAAGGTGAACGAGACTAAAAGGATTTGGTAAATACAAATGTAACGCTTTGCGGCGGATATAAAAAAACAGCTCACCGATTCGCTGTCCCACCGGCGTGCTGAACGGATTCCCCATTAAAAACTCCATGTTGAGGGTGAGGGCCCAGTGAAGCACCGAACTCCCCGGTCAGAGCCGTACGCAGCGACAAGCCCCGCGCGCTCCCGCGGACTGCTGCTGCTGCTGCTGCTGCTCACACAACAAAGTGGGGCACCAGTTGACTGCGTCATCATTTAAAGAGACAGCAGCCTGCTGAAAAATGAAGCGCTCTTGGGAAGTCCCTTCTGTCTTTATGTCAACGTGACAGTGGTGGGCCGTCAGGGCCTGCAAGGCCTTCTCTGCTGGCCTAAACAGAATCTCAAAGTTATAGCTATTTTATAATTTAATATATTTTTTTAAAGTATCAAAGAGAAAAGTAAGTTGTCCATTTGATTAGATTGAATTCAGGACCCTGTTAAAACTGTCATAGCCTGATATTCATTTCAGATATTTCCATACAGTTTCATCAATAACACACTTATTTACTTGCAGACAAACACAGCACAGCTCTTGTGCGTTGAGTCATTGTTGTGTGCTATTAAGAGATTCTTTAGGTTTGAGGTTTGGCAGGACCTGTTAGTTATTTTCCTGTCATAAATACAGATACCTCTGTCACCATTCATTTCAGCAAAGTCAGACCTTGGACTTTTTCTGTGCATTACATATTTACTGCCAGGTGAAGGTGTGATGGCACCTGGTCAAGGTTGTTTTCCCTCCTTGTGGCGAGTAGGTACTTAGAGAGCCAATCAGCCATCAGGATTGTGAAAAAGACGATATCATGATAAGATGAAAGATAATGTATTTTTCAAAGTACCAAAGACTGATGTTGAATGTTGCATTACTTTTAAGAAATTAATAATCTCATATTTCAAAATGTCCTTCCGCTCTCTGCTGTGCTGTTCAATTTTCAGACACACACACCATGAGCATGCGTGTGTGTGTAAAATGTGAACGGCTGCACACATGACACCATCCTCAAGTTCAGTTGGTGTGTGCATGCGTGTGACGTTAGATAACTTTATAAGTTGTGAGTGTGACATCTGCCTTTCCCCGTGTGAGAAACCATTAAACTGGTGTGGCGAGATAGTAAAGGAAGTGGTAACAGCTAAAAAAGGGAGACACACACACAAACACACGCACACACACACACACACACACAACTGGGGTCGAGGTCCTAAATCTTCATCAATAGTGCCACCTCGCCTGAAGATCAGAGCAGAAAAAGTCACTGATGAATGACTCTATATTAGAGAGAGAGCGTGCAGAAGCGTGTGTGTTTTTGTATTTATATATATATGCGTGTGTGTGTAAGTGTGTGTGTGTGTGTGTGCATTCATCTGTATGAGGATGGATATTAGCGCTAATGTTCCGTCAGGGATTAGCTTCAAACCAATCAGGACAGCACGGTGTGATAAACTCCAGTGAACATGCACACTTCATACACATCTACAAAGTAAGCATCCTCCTCAGATGGTACACACAAACACCTTGGGTCACTCCTCAGTTGTGACTTAAAATATGATATATGCGCAAAATATATGCTTTTCCTGCTCGTCCTCTCTGCCTGTGTGCACGTCCCAGAACGCGCAGCTTGGTGCCAAACGAATTTGGCCCAAAAGAGGCGGGTCTATGAAGCAGTTTAGCCAAATGCTGATTAAAGACATAAATTAGTGACATAGCCTACAATTTAGTCAATCAGCGTCCTCAAATAGATTCAGTTCGGGGCCAAAGTCGTTTGGCCCAAAGCTGCGCGTTCTCGTCAGGAGAAGTCTCGACAGGCGAGCGCGAGCTCCAGCGCAAGCACTAGCCTCCTCCAAGACCCGTTTTAGAGCAGAACTTTGGCGGAGAAACTTCAGGCCAAAGAGCTGATCCCAGATCAGCCTGACCTCACAATCAGACAGCAGACTAGCAGGAAAGGGAAGCAGTACGAAGAAAATGTTCCACCAGCTGCCACTGTTCTCTTACAATATGTTTTTTATTTGATTTATACTCGAGTTATTTTTATTTTATCTTTCAGTGCTCTATTACCATTCAGTACAGATATGAGTTGTAAACATTCCACAACCCGTCTCTGCTTATTCTAATACATACTTGGTTGTGGAAACCATCATCTCCTCTTTTAGTGGATTTGTTGGTCAACTCCCAAACCACCAACATAAAAGCTCATTTGTGTTGCATTTCTTTCCTAAACACTGATCAGTTCAGTGGTTTAGTAAAGGTTTATGTCTGTTCCAATAACCATACCTCCATTATATTAATATGCCAGAAAAATATCTAGTATGTCCTAATACATAGTATATCAAATACAGTTTGCCACAAATACCAGGGTCCAGGACATCCCCAGGAGTCGGACAATGTCCTACTGTTACACTCCCTTGCACATCCTTTGTTTCTTATTTAAATACACTTGCCACTTTTATAATCTATATTTGTTTTAAAGTACTGTTATCTGTTTGCTTGTTACCAAATTTTATTGTAATTTTTTCTATTTTGAAATGTCTTGATTATTGCAGTGTTTATTGTTGTGCATCAGTCACCAAGTCAAATTCCATATACAGGTGCTGGTCATATAATTAGAATATCATCAAAAAGTTGATTTATTTCACTAATTCCATTCAAAAAGTGAAACTTGTCTATTATATTCATTCATTACACACAGACTGATATATTTCAAATGTTTATTTCTTTTAATTTTGATTATAACTGACAACTAAGGAAAATCCCAAATTCAGTATCTCAGAAAATTAGAATATTACTTAAGACCAATACAATGAGAGGATTTTTAGAAATCTTTGCCAACTGAAAAGTATGAGCATGTACAGCACTCAATACTTAGTTGGGGCTCCTTTTGCCTGAATTACTGCAGCAATGCGGCGTGGCATGGAGTCGATCAGTCTGTGGCACTGCTCAGGTGTTATGAGAGCCCAGGTTGCTCTGATGGTGGCCTTCAGCTCTTCTGCATTGTTGGGTCTGGCATTTCGCATCATCCTCTTCACAATACCCCATAGATTTTCTATGGGGTTAAGGTCAGGCGAGTTTGCTGGCCAATTAAGAACAGGGATACCATGGTCCTTAAACCAGGTACTGGTTGCTTTGGCACTGTGTGCAGGTGCCAAGTCCTGTTGGAAAATGTCCTTTTTGTCTTTAGCCCAGGCGAGACGCTTCTGACGCCGTCTGTTGTTCAAGAGTGGCTTGACACAAGGAATGCGACAGCTGAAACCCATGTCTTGCATACGTCTGTGTGTAGTGGTTCTTGAAGCACTGACTCCAGCTGCAGTCCACTCTTTCTGAATCTCCCCCACATTTTTGAATCGGTTTTGTTTCACAATCCTCTCCAGGGTGCGGTTATCCCTATTGCTTGTACACTTTTTTCTACCACATCTTTTCCTTCCCTTCGCCTCTCTATTAATGTGCTTGGACACAGAGCTCTGTGAACAGCCAGCCTCTTTTGCAATGACCTTTTGTGTCTTGCCCTCCTTGTGCAAGGTGTCAATGGTCGTCTTTTGGACAACTGTCAAGTCAGCAGTCTTCCCCATGATTGTGTAGCCTACAGAACTAGACTGAGAGACCATTTAAAGGCCTTTGCAGGTGTTTTGAGTTCATTAGCTGATTAGAGTGTGGCACCAGGGGTCTTCAATATTGAACCTTTTCACAATATTCTAATTTTCTGAGATACTGAATTTGGGATTTTCCTTAGTTGTCAGTTATAATCATCAAAATTAAAAGAAATAAACATTTGAAATATATCAGTCTGTGTGTAATGAATGAATATAATAGACAAGTTTCACTTTTTGAATGGAATTAGTGAAATAAATCAACTTTTTGATGATATTCTAATTATATGACCAGCACCTGTATATGTAACGTACTTCGCAATAAATGGTTCTGGTTCTGATGAAGACCTTAACACAGGGTGGTAATGTACAAAACTATAGCCTGTACCAAAATGGACACAGAAAATCAGCTTACTTAATACTTACCGTCCTTATTAAAGCCCACTGTAAAAAGGTATTAATTGAGCTTGCACATTTGATGAAAGGGGACAAAAAGAAAGCACAGGAATAAGATGAAGCAAACACAAAACATATTTTGTGTTTTATTTGTCACATGGGCTATGCGTGGACGTATGTATTTCCTTTGTTTGCCTCTTTCACGGGCAATGAGTGTACACAGTGCGTACACTCATGATCGGGGTAGAGAGGTCTGCCACTCTTGTTAGACCTCTTATGAACAAACTGATGTAAAATAACAAATCCTAAATAGCCTTATGTGGGATTTGTGGTGCTGTATGAAAAGTACACTGAACTTCATATCTAAAATTGGTGGAGTGCCCTTTTAGCATTACATGTACGCAGTAAATGTTGAAAAACAAAAAGTTCACTTAGTTAGTTCTTCTTCTGGAGCTCTCAATCACATCACATGGTCTTCATTAAACATCCCATTCTCATCCATGTTTGCTTAACAGTTGAGCTTGACCGCTCATTCTTGATCCTGACCTAAAGTTATATTTAACAACTTTTTTTTTTTTCTTTATCCTAAAAGTGCTCAGATTAATGTGGGAAAAAATATATGCTGGCAAATGTTAATTACCTTCATTATGCATCGCTTTACTTTAATCACTTTAAAAGCTCAGTGCTTGTGTTGTGTGGTTCTCTGCCACATGGGTGCACTGTTTGATTTCACATTTCACAATGTCAGACAGCCCAATGCTGCCTCATGCTCTCTGATGACCTCCCGTCAAGCATCAATTACCAAGCAGGCATTACCTGTCCTGTGACCTCGGGATTATTTAGTGTCAAACAGGTTTGTGCTTTTTGTAAATTGAAGGTTTGATTGGGACAATATGTAACATTAAGGCACAACCTGACATGATATGGACCTGAAGGTGTGTTTTATGTGTCAAAATCTAGTTTTAAACTCTTCAATATTTGAGTATTGTGCCTATTTCATATGTATGTTGCATATTTCTAAATCACACATTTGTTTGATCATGTCCAAGATGTGAATGTGTGACTCGGACACAGTGACTCACAGAGCGCCAGACAACAACTCTGGCCATTAAAAAAATAACCATATGTAGCCGGTGTGGGCGATCACAGAGCAGATATAAATTCAGGCGATTTCTTATCACAGATCAAGATAAGTGTGTAGTTTTCCTTGGCCTCATCGGATAGATTTGTTAGATCGTCTTTGCGCTGTATTAAAAAGCCAGCTTGTTTGAGGAAACTGCAATTAAATCTCTTTCATGATGTTCCTAATTGGTTTTCGTATGTGGGCGTGGGTAAACGTACCTTTACTGTCTGTGCAGTGATGCTGCTGCATGGTGCGTCAGCAGTTGCTATGCTACTGTATGGAGAAAAATAATTGTATAGATAACTCATGTTAGCACTGTTAATAGTATCTGTATGTTTAGTTAGCAAACAGTATGAACCTCCGCTCTGTGTGATGCATTCAAATAAACTACCTATGGTATTGTTTCTGCTCTGATAAATACCTGTTGTAAATTACTCTTAAAGGGTTCTGTTAAGGAGAATATTTCCTACAAACCTTTATTTTGCTAATTACCTAAGAACTACTTCCAGTCAGCTTTATTTTGTAAGTGCCTTTTTATGTTGTGGGTCCTTTATTTGTATTACTGTTGTAACTAGATGCTAATGTTGGTTTAAAAGAAATGGCTAACTTGCTATGCCGTAATGTTAAAGGCTGACATCTAGCATTAGCTTAAGTGTGCTTTTTGAGAAGCATGTGTGAGAAAATGTAATTGAATGTTTGTACTCGTAAGAGCTCATTTGTTTTATCTGTTCCGTAGCTCTTACGGTGTTTCCTGGAGATTGATTGTGAAGGAGATAGTAAATGTATGGGCTTGCTGAGGTTTCGCTACACCTGTTGACCTCAGTGTATTCAGTAATATCGATATGTGATTATTATAAATAACAGGGACACCCTTATCAGTAAAAGCTGTTTGAGTTCCATTCTCTTAATGTGGAGACCAGCATATGGTCACTTCTTGTGAATACTTTCAAAATAAAGTGACCAAACTGATATCACAAACAAACTGACAGAAATAATCACATTTGTCTCTCCAGGGTTCACAGTGAGGGACTACAACTCTACATTCTCAGTGGGAACAATACAGATGTTTATATTGATTACATTGTTTAGAGGTACATAAATGTCACAATTCATAGTGCTGTCAGAACCGACAGGCCACACAAATAAAAAAAAAAACTGTAAATGTCGGTGTGGTGTTCATCCAATAGGTTTAAATGTCACAGACATCGCATCATCTCTGTCCATTTGATAAATATCAAATGGAAACAAACTGATTCTGTGCAATTCACAAGCTGGTCTTATTGCGTCTGCACAAATTGAACTGCAGTCCTCAGCTGAGACACATGCTGAATATTTAACTTTAAAATATCCAATAGTCCCGGGTCATGTGACAGATATTGGTATAAGGGGTCTTGGGTTTCAAATTGTTTTTGGCTTGAATTGAGTCAAACTGTCAATGCAACCATGGCTACGATAAGACATTTAGCATATATTGCACTGCTGGCAGAAAGGTAATATTTGGGACATCAAATCTCAGAGTGAAACGTATCGGATGTGTGAAAAGTTTGATATCTTTCCTTTGCCGTTTCTCCCCCCCCCTCCCCCTCAACCTTGTTTTATCGCTGACTGTTCTTGCTCCTTCTCTGTGGCTGACATGCACTCACACAAAGATCTCTCCTTTACTTTCCCTGCAGACTGCTGGAGAGCTATGCAGCTCCTATAACGTACATGCTCAGAGACTGAGCCTGGCATCATTAAACGCTTTCAGAAAAGAGTCAAGAGTCAAAGCTGTAAAAGAGAAAAGTCTTTAATTGGCGGAGCATGTTATCGCCTTTTCCAGGGACTTTTCAATGTCTCAGCCAACGCTGCCTACAAGAGCAAGCAGCTTTTTCCACAAGCATCCAATTAGAGTGGGTTGGCAGTAACTTGTCTACATTCAGTGTGTGGCCCCCCCTGATTAGTCTTCTCAGCCTGCAAATTATATACAGCGGAGAGCGTTGCAGGTCTGTTAATCTGCAGCCAGCTGTGTGACGGCCTTTATCAACTGCCAGAGGGATGGAACCGCCAAACAGACCACATCACTGTTGGGAGAGAGCTATATGGACAATAGTAACAGAACATGTGCGTTATTGAATGTATCTCTTCCACGAGGTGAAAGGGAATATTAAGGAAACGGGGAGAACATGCATACCAATTGTGACTATATTATCTACTAACATGTAGTATTCCTTTGACAAAATACTCTATGACAAATCAAAGACAGTGTGGTGGGGAGGTGCTGCCTCTAAGTCCACTGTGTGACTCATCTGTCGCTGCAGTGTGTGTTGTCTGTGTATGAGAGGTGGAGGCAGGCAGCTGAGGTAAGTTGTGCGGAACTGAAAGCATCTGGTTTTCTCCTCACCAGTGTGATCAATAATAACCCCCAACCACCATCTCTCTCTCTCACACACACACCATCTCCTCCCGTTGTCATGGCAGTAACACACAGGATGTTGGCAGGATGCTCTTTGGAGTGGGTCGGGTGTTTAAGTCCTGGCTTCCGCTTCTTTCTGAACACCCCCCGAAGATCGCATCTTGAATAACCATTCAAAAATTCGAATCACTTTGTGCAACATTATGAAGATAACATATATTGTGTTGTTGCATTGAAAGTCTTTATTTTAACAACATTGCAAAGATATGTCACACAAAATAGATTACATGTTCACATTTAATTATTTTTGTTCAGTATGTGA